TCTGGCATCAGTCAACCTCTTCTCATACAATTTATTAACTCATGTATCCTACCCATTCTCCTTTATTGTTCCCTCTAATTCTTCCCTGGGGGCCACGTTATGTTAAGTAAGACTTTGGAGGCTGTAAGCAGGACTAGTGGTACGCCTTTGACCCATCTAACTGATGGGTATTTTAATTTTTGCAAGCAGTTGGCTAGAGTTATCTTATCGGATACTGAACATCCTTTTTATTCACAACCTCCTCTCTTCGGATAAAATCAGAAGGAATTTCCTAAGAATTTATGCTCGTATGATTAAATGTAGAAATTCAACCATAGCATATTTGGCACAGGTGTTGTGTAGAGAGAAAAATACCAGAAATGGGCTTATAAATCTGCTTTATATTCTGTAAATAAACAGAAACTTATCACTAACATTATTATTACAAATATGCTTCTTCTATTAACCTCTGTTTTTGTAGTTTTATTATTTCTACCTTTTTGTTTACTTCTTTATTTGTAAAAGGAGGTAGATTATTGTACTATGTACAATACTGAAAATTCCATTCTGTATAAAAACTATTGTTTGGAATAAGGTGATTAATATTATCATTATTATTATTACTTATGCATAAGCAAGATATCAAACTGCAAACAACTAGAAGTCAGCATTCAGTTGTTGTGATTGCTTAACGCCTATATGTTGAGTTTTTCTCTTCAAGACACCCGGAGTCATAGTTACTGATTTACCATGAAAAATGTCTCTTAGATGGGCTGGATATTATGACAGGTTTCATCAGAAACAGTCTCGTTGCCAGTATCAGACTTTGTATTCTCATCAAGTTTGGTGTGTATCGGCTTCAAAGTTGCTTGCTTCCTATGTTCCATTAGTCGTACGTATATATATGCAACGACTGGTGCCTATGCAGATGTTCCACGAGGAAAGGTGGTCTTTTTCTGCCGACCCTCTTCATCGATTGCTTATAATCATGTGATCTATTTGTGCCCACCATTGATTTGGTGATAGATGTCACTAGGTGAGGCGATGTCTCCCCTTATGTTTAAAATTGTTGCTGACTAGGAACAGATGATTATCTGGACAATTTGTAAGTGACGACCACCGTCGGTATGAGGCTCCATAGCTGACACCAGTATAACTTTCTGTAGTCACACATGCAGTAAAAAGCATAATTAAGCACCGCCATTTTAATAGTTTACATCTGATCAACTGCAAGGCACATTTAGAGAGAACGTTGTTCCAAAGAGCAGAAAAGTTGCGTCCTGAAGGGTGTCTAATTGAATTTAATGAAAAGAAAACACGTAGTTCAGCGAAGAGTCTCTTTTCGACGAATTCATTTTCTTAGCTGTACAATCGCAGATATATATATATATATGTGGTTTATTTTGTATGCATGTGTTTGACAAACTTAATGTACACATACATACAAAATAACCCATATATATCTGCGATTGTACAGCTAAGAGAATGAATTCGTCGAAAAGAGACTCTCCGCGGAACTACGTGTTTTGTTTTCATTAATTGAAATTAATTTGACAGTTTGCGCTAGACAAATGAAGAATTCCTCAATCGACAGAGGATAACACGAATATGGTAGCGGAGTGAAAAAACTGACTTTCTTATGACCATTTTTTAAAGTGATGACACCCCGAATCTAGGAACTAAGTCCCTGAACGGTACTACTACACCACATAAAATGCCCAGTCTCTCAGTCACAAGTGGACAAAATTTAAAGTCATCATACTTTGAAATACATTTATGAATTCTGTCCTGTATGCAGAAACAAGTACAGTAGACACGATTATTCACATATATTCTTCAGCATATGTCGAAAAACTTAGACATTAAGGGTCATAATCTTTCACTAGCTTAATAAACTATCATATACTTGACAAAAGGCATCAAAGTCCCAGGGTGGTACTATAAATAAAAACTCAAAGCATCGTCATCATCTGTCAACACTCTAATCTTCTTTCTCTACCAAAACTGGAATTTAAGCAGCTTCTCGTGTTATGTACTAATGATATACAATTCCCGTTTGACAACAAAATGTATCGCCAGGTTGATGGAGTGGCAATGAGAAGTCCACTTGGTCCGATATTAGCTGATATTTTTATGGCCAGTCTGGAACAAACAAAGCTGAAGTGTGCAATTGGCGAAACAACTGCCTACTATAGATACGTTGATATATCTGTATATCGTAGAGACACATGGAGTGGTCTTTACTTGAATTTCAATATCTTCTACCCAGTGAGAAACAAACGAACGCTGGTGAAAACGCTTTTCTCTAGAGCGAAGAGAATATGTTCACCAAAACAAACTAGACAGTGAAATAATGCTTCTTGAAAAATGCTTGAAAGAAAATGGTTACCCGCAAAGTTTCATTAACAAATATGGCAAGAATGAACTCAAGAAGCCTGATACAGCTACAGTCAGTAAGAAGCATATTTTCATCAAACTTGACTATAAGGACGACGACGTTATGAGAATGGTTAATAAAAGATGAAGCGCAGCCCTATCTAGGACGTATCCTGCAGCGTTATTAGTCTCTCTATCCCAAACAACCTCCTCATTGGTGCAGTCAAAGATTGACAAGTACCCCTCACATGTTACCTCCAACTCTGTATACCAATTCACATGTATTTGCAGGAATAGTTACATAAGAAGAACAGAGAGGAGGGCCTACGTCAGATTCTGCGAACATGTAAAAAGGAGCATCCGGTTAAAGGGACCGAATTGTTTAAGCTCTTCAATCGCCAAACACCTGATCGATGACACAGGACACCGAGTAGATGTGCTGGAATCATTCAAAATAACTAACAGACAAAGTACCTCAAGTCTTCTCAGGTTTCCTGAAGCTATAACAATCAAACGATTGAAGCCTGACTTATGTGTCCAAAAAGAATCCGTTGTTGGACTTCAATTACCCTGGTGACTCACTTCTTAGTAACTCTTTGTTTTCTATTTTTGTTAGCTTATCTTCTCACTCCATCCCCTCCCTTTATTTTTCGCTTGACTTTCTTATGAGATAATTTTTGTTGATATTCTGTTCACGGTATTACATCATCAACTTCTCATCTGACTTCATGTGCACCGAAATTTTTGAATTTTGATCTTCTCTTATCTAATTACGTAACTATTACTAATTGTCTTTTGTTACCACCCCAACAACACAACAGTCAGTAAATTTTTTTTCAAGAAACTTCTCTCTACCAAGATATATATATATATATATATATATATGTCGTAACACTTTAGACACCCTGTAAATCGCAACGCCTTATTTTACTATGACGCTCTGACAGTATGCTTGCTAATGGGCAAAGGTTTGTCAAAATTGTACACTTTTTGTTTGTATTAAAAAATTCAGGTTGTATGCAGCTGATGAGAGCCAACGAAGTAAACTGGATCCAGATTATTCTATGCCAATGTTTCTTCTTTCTTTGTTCAAAGCATATTTAACAAACAGCACCCACTACTTTGGTAATGAGTGATGTCTGAGGCTGATTTATCCTTTTTTTCAACTAATATTTTACCTAGTTATCACTTCCTTCGTTATGACGTAAGCACACTTTCTCAGTACTACATTGTTTTCGATCATTCTAGAAGATTGATTTTCTTGTCTAAGAAATAGGTGACTCCTATCATTTGGTTTATATGTACAAGACCTTTTAATACTTGTCTTTCATTTTGTATTATAAACACCTGAGGTTTAGTAAACAAAAAATCTGTAGGCACTTTGCTGACATGTATGAGCTAATTATTTAGATTGTAATCTGCTGACAAGAATTCAATAAAGGCAATTCATTTCATCGTAATTTATGAATACTGTTGTGATCGAACTGTTCAAATTCATCACCTGAAATAAATGTGTGTGAATGAATGATTAATCATACTTGAAGCTTATACTTTTAGTTCACTGTAAGCAGGCTAAAGTGGACGACTGTTTAGATGGCTGGAGGCAATCGGCCACAGGAAGCCTTGGACCTAGATTTCGTGCTAGTTGGCACTCACCACTCAGCAAGGCGTATCTGTAACCTTGAAGGAAATCATATCCCTTCTGTCTTTTTATCTTTTAGTTAGATTGATGGTAAAAATTAGCACGACCAACTGAACATTTTATTAGTAGTAGTAGTTAATAATTTATTTAACTATAAAGTTGACTGAATATTATGATGAACTGGAGTATGAAAATAGTCAGTGAAACATGCAATTCAAAGGTGTATCATTCCTCAACATTACATTATACATGAACAACTTATCAATTAAACTTTTCTCAAAGGTATAAAGGTAAACTGATTATCGAAAATAACTGTTGTATAATCAAAATTAAAAACACTTGAAGTCTTAGAAACACTTTAGTTAATTGTAAATATATTTATTATTATTATTATTATTATTATAAGGAAACCATATCGTCGACGGGTAAACTAATATAAAGAAAACATTGTTTAATAAGAAAGTATGCGCAGAACAATAAAATCACACCCTTGTAAGCACAAATAGGTATGGGAAATTTGTCTTTTTTGAATGAGATCGTCAAACTGTGTACGGCATTTAAATTACCATAATAATTATTTTTTTTAACAAGAAAAGGTAAGAAACTTTTAAGTACCATATTAAAGTATACACAGTAGATACTTGGAAGTACGATGAAATGCTATAAAAAAAGTAAATTATACCGTAATATATAGAGACATAAATATTAAAAACGACTTACCATCGGGATGAGGGAAAGACCTAAGCGTTATATATAATTGTATAAATTCATTGTTCAATGAAATGCTTATAGAATGAAAAAGAATCAATTGTGAATATAAAGGGCAAATTTTACAGTAAAAAGAAAGGAAGAAACAAGCTCAGAGGTAGATAGAATGATGGTGATGATTCAGTAAGTAAACAGAAGTTCAAAATACACTGGAATTGATGAAGAAAATGAAGATATTCTCTTCATACATTAAACAATAAATTACTTGAATACCGATATGAGACGAAACAGTTATTTATCCGCAAGATGAATTTGAATTAGGGCATTTCTTAACATCCAAGTCCACCATAGAATCAGTAATTACCTTTGCAATGAATGTATTAGGCTGAATCTGATGATCACCTGGCGAATTTGTACACTCAACAACACCGGAAGGAATTAAAGATTGGGATACAGAAGATACAGGAGAGGAACGTGAAACATGAGGAGAAGGTGGAATTGATGAAGGGCTACTAGAATTATTTGAACTGGTAGTTAAAGAGAAAAGTTGACATGATGGACTAGAAGGGCTCGAGACCGTGGGTAGGCTCGGCGGCCAACGAAAGTAAGGAAAGTCAGAACAAGCGCTGCTTCCATTACTGTACACTCGGACGTCATTTTGACATGAAGACTTACTGCTTTTATAACCACAGAAAGATTCTGGAGACCCTTCACGACTGGCATCGTCACTAGATCCACCACCACCGCCACCCGACATACTAGATAAGTAACCTCGTTTGCGCCCAAGTGCAGCTGAAACAAGTAAAGGACTTGCACCACCAGTGCTACTAAATCGTCGTGGGTTAGGGGAGACGGTAGAAGTTGAGAGAGATGGTGAATAACACTGAACGCGTGATGAAACGGGAGATGCAACAGGAGATGGATAACATGAAGAGGGTCGAGAAATATGAGGTGGACTCAAAGGTATCCCTTTGTTACCACCTGGAGTCACAGGAGGACCACTGCCGGCAGGATAGGAACAAGTTACCGATATTACCAATGGTCCACTGAAAGAACTCGGGCGATGGCTAGGACTACTATTCACAGAAGTAGAAGAAGAGGATCCTTCTCTGTCACCTGATTCAGTACATGAAACAGTCAAACCAGCCCACGACGAAGACAATCGAGACGTCTCAGTTAGGAGCTTCTCGTGTTTAACTTCATTCTCAACATGATCCTCAGCAGTCACATAATACTGTGCTGAACAACGTCTGACGGCTTTACGTTTTAGCATAGAATTGGTAAAATATGTACAGGTATCACAGTAAAGAAGTATTCTTCCACTTGAAAAGCGTAGATAAACAAAATTTTAAGAAGTATTCATTCATTTCAACTTTTAATATACGCAGCAATCCTCTAATCAGAAATGTTAAGGTATAATTGAAGGATTAGATTATTCATACAAATAAGAAACATGTGGTAAAATACGTGATTCTGATGAGCTGATATTACCAGTGCAACTTGTTGTCAAGTAGGATAAGTTTTATTGCTCCAGTGTTACACAGCCTTCACGGATACTGAAAAACAAAACAAAAGCTATTTGAACGACAAAATAACTAAAGCAAAGAACTTAGCTGTTTTAATTCACAAATGTTTACTAAAGTATTTGCATCTCATTCTAATAACCAATTTTACGCAATTTAACCCGATACCACGCTATTTAATAATAGTGTTTATCGAGAAAGAATTTGATATCAAATCTATCAAATGCCTAGGAATACCCAAACACCTCTACATTTATAGATTTGGCTTCATCGGCATTTCTTACTGCCACCACGGTTTTTTGCTTGTGTTGGGTACAAAACCTTCACTCAGTAGAGGAATGTTAAATATGCGTTCTACTAATAGCGTGATATTATTATACGTTTGTACAAAAAAACTATTTAAACGAATATCATTATACTAGTAGACGTAGCCCAATGATGAGTGTGAGGACCAGTGTCTCATACACAAACATGTAATGGTCATCATATGAATTGCCACAGTTTTGTTCGTATTCGATGCAACCTTTATTGATTATATGGAGGCCTTCAAAGGCTCGTAAAATTTATACCAATGGCAAGGATTGATGAATCACAATATGTACACTGATATTTGCAAGTTAAGAACTTCATTTTTTTATTAAGTAAACATTGACAAGGGAGATATTTCGAAAAAAAGTCTTCATTAAACTGCCTTACAAGGATGACCAAATTATTCAATTGACTAGTTTTATTTAAATACCTAAATACGCTTTTCAGGAGTCATCACATGAAAATTTTGTCTCTGTGTCCAATACGCAGATTTTATTAACTCTGTATCATACTAAGAATTAGTACAAAATAGTTCTGACGCTTGATACGGGCAGTACACATGCCAAACTTTGTTTAGAAGTACCATAAATGCAACATCGTCAATCAGCTTTCACCACGGTAGCAAGTCAGACTTTAAAGTGTTGGATTGAAATTCTCTGACGAATAATGCGGAAATACGGACAAACAGACATTAAGTAGTTCTTATTTTACGCCAAGCAGACAATCCGACAGAGAAAACGAACAGCTTAATAAGTGAATTATCAATGTAGAACTTTGCACAAAAGTTCAGTAGTCCAAGTCACTACACTTCAGAAAAGCGCACAAAAGTAGAGGAAGGAAATATGACACAAACAACTGGAAATATGCGAGGAAGAACAACTAGATTTTTAGAATTTGGAAGACTAAAAGGAGTGAATAGTTAGTTAGAACGCAGTCATTTTGAGTACATTTTCTACGTGACATGGCATGAGCCACACATTGTGTTAGTGTTGACAATACTACCCAGTTACTCAGGTTGAGGCATTCGTTGACAGCTGAGTGACTAATAAGACAACTTTCCAAGGAGTAAAACTTGGAACCATGACATGAACAATCTTCAATCGCTGATTCTCAGTATTTCGATGAATCCAACTACGCAGTCTTCACTTTCCTATGTGGTTTAAACTAGCAGTTAAATACTTGTAATGGAAACCCCACCAGAATCGGACGCCTACATCTAAATTAACAAAAATCAAAGAATTCATGGGTTTCTGTTGTTTTCATCTCATCATTCTTAATCCTTTTCCAACTTAATCTTACTTCAGATAAAATTAGTCATCAAAGGTTGGAGCTCAGCACGGGTGAGATCTCCAAACCTTTTAAGTTAATAGGGCCGCACTAACTAAGCAAATTATTTTACGTCTTTATCTCACACTACTTCATTATGACTTCCAACACTGAAGACACCTAACATCCACAACCGCTACCCTTTTCATGTCTCCGACTTCCAACAGCCACCTAGAGTTCAAATTATAATAAAACATAAATACACGTGAACCTTAATCACCGATTTCGAGGCATTCCATTTACCAATTTCAACTGTAGGACCTAACTTGGAATCAAAACCGAATAGCAGAAACCAGAACAGTTATGTTCAACAGAAAATGCGTCAAGACATATCCCTAGTCTGCGAAGTCACACACGGTTGATGAGTTAACTTGCTAAGGTGTCAGATATCAGATTTTAAAAGGTGTTCCTTAAAAGACAATGCACTGGCGCAGGCGTCTATACTGCTTACATTCACTTTAACTGAAATGCCATGTATTCCCTTAGTTTTCCCTTCTATTCTTCGGACTAAATACTGATGATCACATTGTTCTTATCACCATTAACTCTGCCATGCTGTTATAAATGTGAATGGATGAGATCGCTACAAAATAATACCAGAAACTTTATCACTGTTTCATGCACACTGTTTCGACGGCAAATACATATTCTCCAAACCCAATAAAGCTCCAAAAACAGAATTTCTAGATAATGGCTAGATCGGAGTGTGTGACATACAGTGTGGGCACTTCAGCTAAAAATTTAGTCCTGTGATGTAACCTTTGGATGCTGAAATACGACATTCAGCACTCATTTTTCCATACTTACTTATTTTCACTCTTGCACATAAAATTAGAACTTTGGAAAATCTATACTTTTAATAGTTTGTTTCATATGAATTCAAAGAAGTAGAAAAGGTATCTATGGATTTTAAAAAAAATTCCTGAAAAAATCCAATTACTATTCTGCTGAAATTTTAGTAAAAATAATGACCGTTATCTAAGTAAAATTATATATAAATTTTAGAAAATATACTTTCACGCTTATAAGTCGGCTGATGTGGAGATATGAAAAAGCTATGTTTAAGACAAGTGTACGCTTCTTATGGTGTATTCATAGTTCAAGATTACTTGATAAAAACAGGAGCTCTTTAGACAGGAGTCATCGAATTAAGTTTACGCAGTCAGGTAGCCAACTAGGAGCTCCGATGAAGGTGGATTATAGGATATAGTTGCCAACAAAACTCTCAACCTCGTTGTTCAATAATTACCAAGTAAAAGCTCAACGTCTTTAACAGACCAGAATTTCAGAAAATATCTCATAAATTAGTGTAACGCATATTTTATTTTGAGCACCATATCTGAATCAATATTCAATGGCATCCAATATCCAATATTGTTTTTACGAGCTAGTATAAACCAATTTGATTTCTTTGTGCTCGCTTCTTGATTGTGAGGTATAGGTTCTTGATCTTCGGTAAACTTCTGCGTAGCTTGTCCCGCCACTCGACTGTCGTAGCTTTGGTTGACTCCAAAGGGAGTAGTGCTGGGATTAATTATATGTGGTTTGTAGTATGAGGTATGTTAAGACTGTTACTACTGTGATTGGAGTTGATCCTTTCGCCAGTTAGTCCTTCGGTATTGTCGACAAGAGAAAAGAGATAGTAATAATAATAATAGATATAATTAGTGAAGCTATTCAGACTAAGAGACAGAAACGAAAATAGGAAACGTAACAACAGTCAGCTCATTAAGTTTGAAGAATAATATATATATCGGTGTAATAATAATAATAGTAATTATAATATTAATAAGTTGTCAGGAGAGTAAGACGGGAGAGAATGTAAAGAAGTAAAATGACGAGTTTAATTATCTACCCTGATTGGTAAATGCGATTTTAAGGAGATAGGCCATTTGGATGCAGTCCTTGTATCGCTGCATGGTTGTCCAGCCTTCGCTTAAAGGCGTCCAAAGACGGTGCCATAGCTACATCTGCCGGTAAGGAATTCCAGGGACGACAAACCCGCAGTGAAAAGAAGTGGGAGCGCACCCGGGTCCTTGCCCTCTGGTGAGCTATCCTTCTGGGATTTCCACGTGGAAGCCTATACCTACTCAATGGCAGAACACCTTTGTTTGGGTGATTCTGGTCATTTGTTATTTTGTAGGCAGTAATCAAATCCCCCCTAAGCCGACGGTAACTAAGTGTGAACAGGCCTAATTTCTTCAGCCTTTCATCATATGGTTTGTTTCGGAGACCAACCACTCCTTTTGTTGCCCGTCGTTGGACTCTTTCCAAGAGGTTGGCATCTCTTCTCAGCATTGGGGGTGCAATAATATTATGCACCTCAAGGTGTGGCCTGACGTATGTTTTGTACAACATTAGAAAGAGCTCAGGAGTGAGTGCACCTAACTGTCTATGCGTAAAGTGTATGACCGCATATGCCCTCGCTACATCCCCTGTGTAATTTACGCTTGTGTCCATTTTTTCCGTTAGAACTAGACCTAAGTCGCGTTCCGACGTTGTGCAGGACAAGCTTTCATTGCACAGGGTGTAACTTGCATTCTGCAGTCTACAGGTGCGCAACTTCACTACTTTGCACTTTTTCAAGTTGAAAGTCATGCCACTGGCCACCGCCCAGTCTTCCAGAAGGTTTAGGTCTTCCTGTAGCCTATCTGAGTCCTCCGGACACTTTATCGCCCTCCATATTTTTACGTCGTCAGCGTACAGGAGAGTCGGGCAGCTCAGACGGCGTGGTAGATCATTGATGAAAATCAAAAACATCAGTGGTCCTAGGATAGAACCCTGCGACACTCCTGATGACGATCTGTGCCAAGATGATCGGACTCGGTTAACCTTAGTGCAAAATTGCCTGTCGGCTAGGTAGTCCTTCAACCATGACAGAAGTGGCTCACCTATGCCTGCCTGGCTTATTTTATGTAGGAGAAGGTCATGGTGAACAGTGTCAAATGCCTTCTCAAAGTCTAGGAAGACCACATGGACTGGTACGTTCAAGTCCCAGCATGATGTCCAGTCGTCCCAAGCTGACAGTAGGTTAGTGACGCAGGATCTGCCTTTTCTGAAACCATGTTGGGCTTCATGTAGTATATTAGTCCTATCGAAATATTCCCTGATGTGG